ACGTTCTTGAAGGCGTTCCAAGCCACTCTCTTCCTCCTGCGCAGCTCGGGTGTGCCAGGTCATTTGTCATGTTGACTTTTCGACCTAGGTACACATAGCTGTTGCATTCGGAGATGGTCGTTCTGTTGAGAGCGAATGGGGCGTCAGGAACGAGGCTGTTTCTCATAAACATTGTCTTCGTAAGATTCAGCTGTAGTCTGACCTTTCCACACTCACGGTCGAAGTCGGCCAGCATTTGTGCCACTTGGCTGATGTTTGGTGTTATTAAAACAATGTCATCAGCAAAGCGTAGGTGGTGTAGTTGCCGACCATCTATCTTCACTCCCATTCCTTCCCATTCCAGTCATCGCATGATGTTCTCGAGGGTGGCACTGAAGAATTTCGGTGAAATGGTATCACCCTGATGAACCCCTCTCTTGACATCAATGATTACCTCTTTGTAGAATGGTGAGATCCTGGTAGTGAATCCGCAATACCTCTCACGGAGGATCTTGATGTATTGAGCTTGAATGCCCTGATTGGCTAGGGCTACAATGACCACTTCCGTCTCAACAGAATCAAAGGCCTTCTTTAAATCAATGAACGTTAGACAGAGCGGCATCTTAAAATCCCGAGAAACCTCAATGAGCTTGGTTATCGTGTGGATATGGTCGATGGTGCTGAATCCTTTGCGGAACCTGGCTTGCTCGCATGGTTGTCCTTCATCTAGTGTTCTGCCAATCCTATTTAGGATGACTCGAGTGAACAACTTGTAGATGACAGACAATAGGCAGATCGGGCGATAGTTGCCAATGTCATGGATGTCTCCCTTCTTGAACAGTAGTACAGTCCTGCTGGTTTTCCATTGGGACAGAACCTTGCACTCAGACAGATAGCATGTGAAGAGCCGAGCCAGTGTATTGATGAGTACTGACGGCAGGTTCTTCAGGTGTTCAGGTCTGACCTTGTCTGGGCCGGGTGCTGTTCGTTTCTTTATTGACGAAATGGCATGTTGGATTTCAGAAGGGAGAACATTGGGAACAACATATCCATCCTGTGGAATTTGGTATGTCGGCAAGTGGACATGGCTATCGAAGAGATTTGAGTAGAACTCATGGATAATCTTCTCCATTGCCATTCTGGAGGATGTGATAGATCCATCAGGACGTCAGAGGGCAGTCATCTTGGTCTTGTAGTTGGCGAAGGACAGGCGGGCATTACGAATACTTTTCCCGGCTTCTGCCGCATCTACCAGCACTTCTGCTCTTCTCTCTTTGAGGTCTTCCTTGATCGCATCTCTGCACTGCTTTGCGAGCTCGGACATTTGCTTGCGGTTGCCTGAGGCATGCGCCAAACCATGTTGGTGAAAAAGCTCAAGAGTTTTCGAAGACAGGCGGTTTTTTGTGGCTATCTTTCTCTTGGCATTCCTTGCACAATCATGGAGGTGCTGAACCAGTCGATCGTATTCCTCGTCAATGTTGTCAACAATGGCATCTTCCCATGTTGCCACAATAGTGCCAAAGAGCTCCCAGTTGGTGGTCGTTCTGGGAGTTCTCTTTTTAAACTTTGCAGCCCTTTCTCCCCGCTCTTTGAAGTAGAATTTTGCACGAAGGAGACAGTGGTCCGATTCCATTCGGAATTTTGGGACAACAGCGACATCGGTCAGGCAAAACTTTCGATTGAATATGATGTGGTCTATTTTGTTGTGGAATCATCCATCGGGAGACTCCCATGTCCAACATTTAGATTCGGCCTTCTGGAACTGTGAGTTATCATGGATGGTCTTGGTCGACATGATGAACTCAGACAGTCTCTCACCCTGTTCGTTCCATTCTAGGCCATGGGTCCCGATGTGAAGTTCTCCAGCTGATCTTCTCGGTCCTATCTTGGCAATAAAATCACCCACAATGATCTTGTAGAAGGTGTGGTCTTCTTTATAGAACTTCTCTAGCTCCATGTAGAACTTCTCAATTTCTCCTTCATCATAATTAGATGTTGGTGCGTAGACAACGAAGATAGAAACTGCCGGCAGTGAGCCACATCTATTCAAATGTAAACTTCCAATTCGGGTTGTTAGGCATTCGAATAAATCAATGTTCATGGCCAAGTTTGTGTTGACAAGGACACTGATGCCTCCGACACCTCTTTTATCGCATGTTCCGAGGATTCATTCTTCTCCAGTGTCAAAAACGGCATGATGAGATTGGTGCCTTCTTGTCTCGGTCAGACCAATGATGTCGTACTTGATCTTTTGCGCTTGTACCATCAGGTCCTCAATGGATGCATCTGATGCTAGTGTACGTGCATTGAAAGTACAGACGATCATTTTTGTCTTCCTTCGTTGTGGCAGCCTAGTTCGGCCTTGAGATTTTGTCGGCCTCTCCTTTCTCATCCTTCTCAGTGCTGCCATGTTGGTGAAGCCTTCAGGGTCAGGTGAATGAGACCCATTGTAATTACTGGTTTTGGCATATCGAATACACAACGGATAGCTTGCCAGGCTCTGCCGTACAGGTGGAATACTCTCGGTAGCTTGCCAGTCTTTCCGAGAGGGATAGAGGCTTTTGGGGCGACTTCTAATCTCTCTCGTAGGTGTTATCATATTTGAACCCTATCAAATATGGTACGGCAATTCCGGAAGATGGGTATTTAGTGTCTTATGATGTGTCTTAGGTCATAACTAAGGATACAATAATAAACAAGACAAACACTGATTCTGCCGTGACAACTGTATATATTAGTAAGTTTAAGAGACAGAAATAAAGTTCCATTAGGCCCTCACAATGTTTTGGGGAGCCTGCAATTTCTACGACTGAGAACAAATGGTTTCTTCGTATGCTGATAATAATATCATCTGAGGTGTTAAAGTTTAAAAGGCTTGTCTTGATGCTTAACACTTCCCTGAGGGCAAGCCAGCAAAGACTGATGATGAGCATGAGTGTAACCAGTTGCCAGTCTAGCTCTGGTTGTGTTAGTCTATGCATTCTTCCTTGGATTGCCTTCTTTGGGTAGTAGATGTGATCTTAGAAGACAGCCTCCAAAACAATCGGCTGCAACCTGTTACTCTCTGTCACCTTCTATCCCAGTTATATGAATCCACTTTGCACTATAGGTTTCCAAAAATCTCCACACCAGGCTCATTTGTATCAAAGAGGTCTGGGTAGATATTTAGAGATCTACGAAGATCTTTTCATAGAGGTGGGTAGGGCATAGTCTTTTCAAATCAAGATGTCTTGCAAAAAAAGTAACTTTCACCATCTACCGAATAACCAGCCTCAGAGTGCTGCAACCCTAGTGAACTTCAGACATCATGCCTTTGGCATGCCACCATAGCCACCAGATCTCTGTTGGCCTTTTCCCCTAAAAATGCTGAGGGAGAATGAAGAGAAGAATGGAGGTGGGTACTTGAGAGAAGTGGGTTGATCACAAGCCTTTTCATATAAATGAAATGGCATAATAAGTGGTGGGCCTTCAACTAGGCATTCATAACCATCCCTTTGCAGCTGATCCCATAGCTGACCAAGTTCTTGTGCTTTCCAAGTTACAGAGGTCTATGGTCACTGTATTTGGAACACACAAAGGAATGAATACATTTTTCCTTTTCTCTTCTTGGAATAACAAGATCCACTTTTCTTTCTTTTTTCTTGTTTTTGGGCCTCAGCAGGCAATGTTCAGGCCTTACTCCTGGTAGCACTCATGGGACCATATGGGACTCCAGGGATCAAACTTGGGTCAGCCATATGCAAAACAAGAACCTTACCCACTGTACTACTGCTCCAGCCCCAATATCTCTCTGTCTTGAGGGATCCTCTCTTCCAGGTGACTTGGGTGAGGCTGATTTTACCTCCCCTGTTCTAACTCTTCCTTTCCACCTAATGCAAGAAGGACTGGGAAAGACATTGCTTCCCATTCCCAGATCTCTGTTTCTAAGAACTAGCTAAGCCTTGAGCTGCCGCTGGCTATTTTTACCTCTATGCTAGAAAAGTTTACCTGAGGATAAAACCAAAAAAGAAAGCAACAATTTGGGCGGAAAGACTGATGTATTCATTGCTTAAATCCTTGAATCCAGCCATACCAAATAAACTCCATGGAATGTTCCAGTTATAGAAGCAAAATTCAACATTACTTATAAGAATCTTTGGACTGTAGTATAGTGGTCCAGTGCACCAAATCCAGGCCTCATTTTGAATCCTGACTCTGTTTCTCACTGCTCAAATCAACACATTAGACTTGATTACCTTGATCAATAATACATTTGTATATAAGAATGGAGTTAACGCCCTCTCTGGAAAGAAAGATGGTGGCCGCATGGGAGCCTTGTGGAGAGCAGGTATGAGCCGGGGGTGGGACGCGACTGAAACCTCATGGGACGGGGGGCGCTCCGACCCGTCCTTCATGCCCGACCGAGGTCACCAGTTGCCCCCCACGAGCGGCTCGCCGGCACGGCCACGGCCCCAGAAACACAGAGACCAATCTCTTAATTATCTGACTCTCAGTAGAAATACTTGCAGGGTTAATAAATAAAATAGCAGAAATCCAAAACCGCACAGCCGCTATTGCGGCTGCGCGACATCATTTAATTCTTGAACCCCGTTGTAGAAAGCAGATCATTTCACAATGCTTTTTCAGCATGGCTGAGTTTGGGGGGAGGGGTAAAGTCTAAATAATAATGGTGCAACTTTTATCAAAACAATGAAGCTAGTCAAAGTAGACAGAGTGTTAACTAGAATTCATCTACCCCACAGACACAGGGAGGGGGGGTTGGGGGGGATTACTGGGGTTCTTCGTGGTGAAAAATAAGTATTGGTAAAGGGAATTGTGATTGATATTTGCATGACTGAGACCTAAACTTGAAAGCTTTGTAATTTTTTCCACAGCGATTCAATAAATAAATAAATAAATTTAAAAAAACAAACAAAAAAAAGAATGGATTTGATAGCTTCAATTACACATGCACCACCATCAACAAGCACACATTCATTCTCCCATCCCTGGGATGATAGCATAATCAGGCCTTTTCTTACCTTCAGAAGCTTTCCAGTAGGACACACCAACAGCATGAAGACTAACGGGATGAGAAGCCATATTCTTAAGTGTAATGATCACTGTATCGTAAACCTCTGCCCAGATGGTAGGACCCAACAGACCTGTAAGAACAAGGCATCCCACAGAGGTCACTTTATGGTGGCAATTCAGAAAGTCTATCAAAGTGATAGGCCAAGTCATAGCAGAGAAACATAATCTGTGATTATTGATTTAAAAAGTAGTAGTTGAGCCCTTCGCCCTCTCCTCTCTGGAAAGAAAGATGATGGCCGCATGGGAGCCTTGTGGAGAGCAGGTCTGAGCCAGGGGTGGGGGCGCGCCTGAAACCTCATGGAACGGGGGGCATTCCGGCCCATCCTTCATGCCCTACCGAGGTCACCAGTTGCCCCCCACGAGCGGCTCTCCGGCACGGCCATGACTCCAGAGCACAGAAACCAATCTCTTAATTATCTGACTCTCAGTAGAAATCCTTCCAGGATTAATAAGTAAAATAGCAGAAATCCAAAACCGCGCGGCAGCAATAGTGGCTGCGCGACAGCATTTAATTCTTGAACCCAGCTGTAGAAAGCAAATCATTTCACAATGCTTTTTCAGCACGGCTGATTTGGGGGGGGGTAAAGTCTAAATAATAATGGTGCAATTTTTATCGAAACAATGAAGCTAGTCAAAGTAGATAGAGTGTTAACTAGAATTCATCTGCCCCACAGGCATTGGGGGTGGGGGGATGGGGGTTTATTGGGGTTCTTCGTGGTGAAAAATAAGTATTGGTAAAGGAAAATGTGATTGATATTTGCATGACCTAGACCTAAACCTGAAAGCTTTGTAACTTTCCCCACAGCGATTCAATAAATAAATAAAAATAAAAAATAAAAAATAAAAATAAAAAAATATTTGACAAAATTCAGTACCAATAAAAGATTTTTTATAATTCCAAAAAAAAACAAAAACAAAAAAGAGTAGTAGTTGAGACATATGAATAGATTATAAAGATGTTGTACATTTATAAGCAGAATACTATGCAGATGCAAAGAATGATGAAATCATACAATTTGTTGCAACATGATTGGAACTCGGAGGTATCATGTTGACTAAAGTAAGTCAGAAGAATAAAGACAAACACAGGTGATTTGGCTGTTTTTGCTCATTTGTGGTATATAGAATACTGGGTGAGGAAATGTATTATAGTAAATGATTTTACCCATTTGTGGTATGTAGAATACTGGATGAGAAAATGTATTGTAGCAAATTATTTTCCTCATTTGTGGTATATAGAATACTGGGTGAGGAAATGCATTGTAGTAAAAGGGGGAAGCCTAGATCACCCTTGACCACAATGTTTAGAGAGGAGAACAGAGAAGGAGAAAAATCAGGGGTGGGGGGGAAAGAGAAAGCAAAGTAATGGGTGAACAGGCACCAGGGCTTCAGTTGTTACCAGTGATATGGATGAGGGGTGTGGCAATATGCCAAAACACAGACTTTAAAAAAGTGGAAACATGAGATCTAGCTGCAACCACTGGAAATTTTTTTTAACCACTGGAAATTTAAAAGGTGCTGTGAAGTTGACAGGTGGGTATGGGGTGGAGTTTAGAGGAGGGACCTTCACATGGGAGGTGGAATTGGTGTTGAAATATTATATGCCTTAAATAAACTGTCAATAACTTTGTAAATCAGTACTTTAATGATTTTTTAAAGTAGTAGTTGAGGGCCAAGCCATAGGACAGTTAGTAGAGTGCTTGCTTTGCATAGAGCAGACATGGGTTCGATCCCTGGCATCCCATATGGTCCCCCTAACCCAGCTGTGATATCTGAGCACAGAGCCAGGAGTAAGCCTGGGAGTATCCCCTAAAACTATATATATATATATATATATATATATATATATAGAGAGAGAGAGAGAGAGAGAGAGAGAGACTGGAGCAATAACACAGGGAGTAGGGCATTTGCACACGGCCAACCCGGATTTGATTCCTCTGCTCCTCTCAGAGAGCCCAGCAAGCTACTGAGAGTATCTTGCCCACACGGCAAAGCCTGGCAAATTACCTGTGATGTATTCAATATGCCAAAAACAGTAACAAGTCTCATAATTTGTTGTGAGACGTTACTGGTGCCTGCTCGAGCAAATCAATGAACAAAGGGAGCACGGTGCTATAGGACAGTGCAGTGCTATATGTATATATACACATATAGATAGAGAGAGAGTAGTTGAGGGGAAAGAGAGATAAGAGAGATAGTGCAGTGGGTAGGGCTCTTTCCTTGCACACATCTGGTCCAGGTCCCATCCTTGGCACCACATATGGTTCCCCAAGACTGCCAGGAATGATCCTTAAGCATAGAGTCATAAGAGTAAGCCCTGAGCACAAGGAATGACCCCCAAATCCCAAAAAAGTAGTCAAATGGTTAAATGCACAAGAGCTATCACCAACTCAGCTTCATGGTTTTTCTGAGGACAGATTGTTGGCATTCGTTTAAGTAATAGTTGAGTTCCTGTTCTAACTTCTATGAATTGTAATAGGAATGGGAGATGCTGTAGGTTACAGGATAGATTGCACAGATCACATCACAGAGACATGAAGCGTTTTGAAAATGAACTACACAGGACTGGAGAGATAGCTGAATTAACTGAGGACATGCTTTGTATGGGGGATGCCTGGATTCAATCTTGACATCAAATGGTCCCCTGAATGCCACCAGGAGAAGCAGAGAGTGGCCCAACATCCCTCCCACTGAAAAAGAAAATAGTTGAAGCCAGAGAGATAGTACAGTGGTGATGTTGCTTGCAGCTGACCTTAGTGCAATAACAGGCATCACATGGTCTGGGATCACTGGGTCCAGCCCAGAAGTCCCATGAGCACTGCTGGATGTGTCTATGGAGGTCCCTGAGCATTTCTGGAGTGCCCAGGTAGTCCCTGGTACCATAGCACCTGAACAACGCTGTACCAACAGGTTGGTCATCAAACCACCAGCCTGGTTTGTGGAGAATCGCCAGGAGGTGTCCCCAGTCTGCTAAGAACTGCTTGGGAAATTCCTTCCAAGGAAACAGAAAGGTCAAAAGATAACAAGTGGGGGTGGGGAGAAGAGAGATGAGAAGCAATAGGGGGTAAGGGTCAAGGTACATCCGGTAGTGTTAGGAATGATAGAGCTAAACATCCAAACCACAGAGCCAGCAACACTGAAATCATGAGACCCAAACTTCAATAACCAAATTTTAAAAAGGTGCTGGTCAAGATGGCAGGTTGTGTGGGCTGTGGGAGGGTGGTATGAGAGAGTACCTGGGAACACTGGGAAAGGGAAGTTGAGTCTGATGGCAGGATCAGTGATAGAGAGAGAAAAAGAGCAAGGAGCGGGGACCGACTGCTGAGACGTTAGCTGGTGAAACTAGGGAAGAGTGAGGCCATGACTCCGGAAATGAGACAGAAGTCAAGAGTCTGAGCTGAACACCCGTTGAGAAGATGCTTCTGGATGCTCTGTGGGGTTAACTAGATTTGATAAGGTGAAAACATGTGCACTCTCCCTGCTCTGCACTTTGAGTCATCCCAATCTTCCCAGCGACCTTCAGGTATGAGGATTGTTACTTGTTACTTACTAGTAAGGCCTAGCCAGTCTCACATTAAACTTTGGGTGCCGGCTGCAATTCTAAGACTTAGAAATGGAGATGAATTGGCAAAAGATTCCTTGGCAGCTCTGGGTGCTCCCCATTTCTCCCATGGAGCTGGTCGAGGATAGGGCTGGGGAAGGGGTCTTGGCGACAGGCTCTTTCCTGCAAGGAGCAGTGGCAACAGGACTTCAGTTCCCCCCTCCTGCTGGCGGTGGCACATGCCAAGAATCTGGCACATGCCTTTATCTCTGAGGGAGCTTAATGACTTCTCTGGACTTTCTCACTCCACATCCGGGGCCTGCTCTCCTCTTTTCACCAGTTACAAATGTCTCCTGAGTTCTGTTTCTGTGGGAAAAATCACATGGACCTTTTCTGCTAGGGTCACCTTGAGACAGTACTCCCTGTGACAAGACATGTCCTGTGACCAGACCTCATGCCTACCACCTGTGTGGCAAGCTCCTGTGACGGCCACACCCCCTGTTACACCATCGGGACAAGAGCACTAGTCAGAGTCTCTCAGGCTCCCCATGGTTCTCTGGGATCTTTTCTCACTACCGCTTCACATGTGGGGATGTGATACAGAAAATGCTTTCTACAGAAAACCTCACGTCTCAACTGGCTTTAAAGTTCCCACCGCCACTCAGACAGATGTGGGAGCATGAGGGATTGAGGGCTGCAGAGCCAGCTGAGTACTGTAGCCTTCAGAAGCCTGCCTAGGTGGGCCAACGCCCCTTTTCAGAATAAGGGTCTAAATGCCACCTATGAGTCTCCCCAACCATTCAAAGGTAGGATACAGCTCACCTGACAGCTTGTTGCCTGCTTGTTTCACGTCTGAATTAATATGGTATGGAGACTTGTTGGCCTGTATAGGTGAGATGTAATATTTTCATATTTTATTTGGGTGGTCCTAAGCAGTGCTCAGGGAAGCTCAGGGTCAGTCCCAGCATGACTTGGTCAGCTAGGCCAGAATGGTCACCTCTTGGCTTGGGATGCAGTGGTGCTTGCGAACCTCCAGGGCTACCCCAGCAGTGCTCAGGAATGTGTCCCTGAGTCGGAGCTCTCTCCCGCCTCTCACAGGTGATGTTCTAGACTTCACAGACTGATTAAGATCTGCCAGCTACAGAAGGTAGAGAAAATATCAAGTGACCCCAGGTACCAGATCCAAGGCATTCTAATTTCCAGGGGAAAAGAGTGGCAGGAGGGCCTAGCAAATGAAAAACATGCAGCTAGCTAGAGTGTTTTCTCCTGGGTGGAAGAAAGAGACGCTTAGTTGGGGGAGCATTTGTCACAAACTGAAGTGCCTTTTTGGGAAGAAAGATAACCAGTTGCATAACAGTTAACATTGGTTACATTACCCATCCAGGGTGGCCTGGGCTTGACGATGTTGAACAGGTGATCCGTGAACTCCACAAACACAGTTTTGGGGTACAGGGCTGAGGTGTTGACTGGAAAAGATCTTGGCTCACCAGGGGCGAACCTGTGTGAGCAAAGGACAAAGGCCTTCAGTCGGATGGACCCTTCTCTAAAGCCATGTTACAAAGGAGCTGGAAGGAAGGCATCTGCTTCACTCTTCCATGGTCACAATGCCAGCTGGAGGTAGGATACAAAACAGAGCCCACAGGAATGGTATTAGTGCCCTTCTGAGACAGATGCCAGAAAGCCCCTTACCTGCTTCTCCATGTAAGGACAGGGGAGAAAGTGGTCCTCTGGAACATGTCCCTGGAAGAAGACTTAGCCCCTACATCTGCTGACACCCAGATGTGTCACAGCAAGAAATGCTGCTCTTATTTATAAGCTCCTCTGTGGGCAGGGTGCTTACTTTGCATAAGGTCAACATGGGTTCCATTCCCGGCATCCTATATGGTTCCCCATGTACTGCCAGAAGTGATTCCTCAGTGTTGAGCCAGAAGTAACTCCCGAACATTGCTGGATGTGAACCAAAAAACAACAACAACAAAACAAAACCAAACAAAATTGCTATCCCCCCATGGCATCAGGCAGAAATCCTTTGCCAAAATAATAACTACAGAATCCTTCAAGTTTACCTGTGAAATGGAAAGATCAGGTTTATTCACCCCAAAAGACCAATGAGAGGACCTAGTATGAAACTCAAGGTTGTGACTCATGTGCATGGCATATGCCTTGCATATGGGAGGCCCTGGGTCCTATCATTGGGACCAGATGACCCCTGGTACCACTAAATATGTCTTCTGTAAATACAAATGAAGATCAATTTGAATCCTTGTGAAGAGCATTTTAAATGGTAGAAATTAAACCTTTTGGAGGTCCAAGACCACGATGTCAACATTATTATAAATACGTAACCTAATGTATAATTTAAAAATAAATAACAGAAGTAGTTGGAGGTGACTATTTACACACACTGGTCTTTATGTACCAACCATTCTTGTGGACCCTGGAATCAAACTGCACACTTTACTGTGCCATGGAGAGTCTCTTCCTGGCTCATGCTTTTGCACATCTGACTCTTTCTTTGCTCTAACCAGATGTCACCAGTTGGTACTGTTTCACCAGATAAAGGAAATATAGGCCCAAGAAATAGACATTTGGGGAATGCAGTTTCATGAAGAGAAAGCCCTGAAAGAAAGTTTGCATACGTAGATTCTGCATCCAATCTTGATCGGACAGAAACAAACTTGACCACATACTTCCCACAGATGGACTCATAAGTATGACCATTTACTTATTTCTAAACCATACACATGACTGTTCCTGCCACCAAAGAGGAGATAGTGAGAGGCACTGATGAAGATCACAAATAAGAGGCTCAAGTTTACAAACACTGTGAACTAACCTCCAGACCCATAGAGTGGCTTCTCTCCCCACCCCCACACCACATTACAGTCTAGTTACTACAGTACTTTCACCCTGTCTACCTTCCAGCAATAAATTACAAGGCATACTAAAAGTTAAAAATAGAGTTTGCAGAGATGGAAGAAATAGCATAACTAGAGTCAGATCTGGCAGGAATGTTGAAATTGTCAGAACAGAATTTTTATTTGGAGGGGGGCCAGGGGATTACATTTAGCAGTGCTCAGAGCTTATTCTTGACTTTGTGTGCAGGAGATACTCCTGATGGTGCTTGGGGGACCATATGTGATGCCAGGGCTTGAACTGGGCTTAGGTATGTACACAGCAAACCCTTTAACTTCTGTACTATCTCTCTGGCCCAGAGCAGAATTTTTAAATGATCAATATTCTAAGAATTTTAATGAGAGAAGCAGACAACATGTCAGAATCGATAGGTAACATAATACAAGCATAAAGAGTAAGAACAAAGAGAGAATAAAAAAGAAGTATTACAGGTTAAAAGCACTCTAACAGTCACTTTTATGAGACCATTGATAAAAGGTTGGATGTGGCTAAGGAAAAAATCTTTGAGTTGGAAGATGTGACAATAGAAACTTCCCAAAGTGAGTGTCAAAAAGAGACTGAAAAAGGCAGAAGATACAAGATTTGTGGAACAAATACATATGTGTCAAACAACTACATAGTGGGAATACCAGAAAAAAGACGAAAACCTAGAAGCTATATTTGAAGCAACAACGACTGAGAATTCTTCCAAATGAACAGGAAAAACGAAATCACATGTGCAGGAATCTTAGATTATAACAATCAAAATAAATCTTAAAGAATCACGGTTGGGAAGGAGCAGAGTGGAGTGATTGTACATCAAGCAGGGCACTTGCCTTGCACCTGGTCAACTGGGGCTCTATCCCAGGCACCACATAGGAGTCTCTGAGCTGTGGAGAATGGAGTGGTCCCTGAGTGCAGGGCCAGGTCAAATAAGCCCTGAGCACAGCCTGGTATGGCACAAAAACAAACATCCAAAACCATATACAATGAGGTGAAAGAATAGTATAGCAGGTAAGGCACTTGCGTTGCATGCCGCCAATTCTGCTTTGACCCTGGCAAACCATATATACGGTCCCTGAGCCCCACCAGGAGTGATCTCTGAGTGTAGAGGACTGCCTGGTATAGTCCCACTGCCACACACATTCCTTATTCCTAGGCATAAAGTATTCACAAGTGTTTAGAAAATAAGAGATATAGAAAAACAAAACCTTGATGTAATCGCCAGGGAACACTGTATGAATGAGAAAAGAAGGGCTGGAGCAGTAATACAGCAGGTAGTGAGCTTTTCTTGCATGCCTCCAACCTGGGTTGATTGCTAGTACCCCACGTAGACCCCCAGCCTGCCAGGAGTGATCCCTGAGGTTGAGATACTAGAGAAAGGCCCTCAGCACTGCCAGTTGTGGCCCCCACACTCAAAAGAAAAAGAAGAAAGAAAAGAATTACATCTTATGTTTGTCTCCAAAACTATTCAAGCAAAGGAAAATGGAGTCAAATAGTTACAGTATTGAGAAAACAAACAACCAGGCAGGCCTGGGAGACAGCTCAAGGGGCTAATCTCCAGTACCACATGGTTCCCCAAATACTGCCAGGAGCAACTCCTGAGCACTATTGGATGTGGCCAAAACAAAACCAAAAATCTTAAGAGGTCTGTATCCTGTGGGAGCTAGGGCAATAGTACAGCAGGTAGGGCATTCACCTTGCATGTGGCTGACCCGGGTTGGATTCCCGCTACCCCATTTGATTTCATGAACACTGTTAGGAGTAATTCTGGAATGCAGAACCAGGAAGCATCCCTGAACATTGCCAGGCGTTGCACAACAACCCCCCAGAAGATTTCTGTACCCCGTGAAATTATACTTGCAGACAAACAAAAATGAGGACTCTGTTACTAGCGTACCTGCCTTGCAAGAAATATTAAAAGTAATGCTTCAGGGAGAAGGAAATTAATATGCCAGAAATTTTAATCTACATTAAAATGTAAGTGCATCTGAGGGTGAATGAAGGAATGGCATCGCAGAAAAGACACAAAACAACAAAGCAGACTAATCACTTAGCCAGCTTCCTTCTCGGCTTCTTGCCACACTGTTTTTCATACACAGGCTGTTTTTCACACCTTCCCAGGGTTTCCAGGACACTGGAGAGAACACGTCCTCACCAGAACAGTGAAGGCCATGACAGATGACTCTCTGGACTGGCTGAAGGCCAGGGCCCAGCCTCACAGTAGGCGATCTCTTCCAGTAAGAGGAGAGGCTAGCTGGGGGGTGGCTGGGAAGCAGCAGAGACCAAACAGGTTGTAGGAGCAGGAGGTCAGGGCCTCTTCCCGGGCATTCCTATTATATCACAGACCATACATGAATCACAACCATGTCCATTGGGGAATCACTATAAAGGCAAAAGTGAGCTTAAGTTCTGGCTGGGCTAGCTGGATACACAGGTACAGTTCCAATTCACTGCCAGTGGACTGCAGCTCCAGACTGTGGGGAGGCAACAGGTTTAGGGCAGTGCTGATTGTTAGCTGCTGTGTAGAAAGAAATGGGCAGAAATTTGAATACAGAGCAGTGACGGCAGCCACTCCTTGGCTGCCTAATACCTACTTTGGCTACCTACTTTCTGCTTGGCCCCAAAAGTAAAGGAGTGTCTGGTGGAGGGAAGCAGACACTAGTAAAGGGACTGGTGGAGGGAAGTGTGCCCTGCTGAAGGGATCGTTGTTGCAACATTGATTGCCGGAAACTCAATCATGAATAACTTTGTAAGTCAAGGTGCATCAGTAAAAATAAGAAAGTAAAGAACCAAAAGATCAGGTTCAAGGAAGCCTGGTGCAAAGAGAGGGCACAAAAGAGAAAACTGTTGATGATTTTGTCACACACCACCTCATCCAGAAGTAGCCAGCAAGACAAGTGGAATGCTACTACAGGCATAAAATAAATCATCCAGACAGGTCTATGCCAAGGCTGGTCACAGGGAGATTTTGGGAGATGGAGGTTTACATGGAGGGCCAGTCGTCTAGATGCCTTATGTGCCCTGATTCAGAGATGGTTCTGTAGCCCTGGTAGGAAGATTACACAGGGTCTGGGAGATGGCTCATGGCTAAGGCACTTACACCAAAAGCTTGATATTGTGAGTTTGATCCATGGTGCTGCCCACATGTGTCAATAACTCTGCTCTCTAGGACCCTGGCACCAAAACAAAGACACTACACTAAAGTATACAAGCTCCTGTGAGCACATGTGCACATGCACGGTGACCCCAGCAAGCACTGCAACAAGAAAGCGTGAAGGCACAACCCAAGGTGACTCCAGTGAGCATGTGAGCAAGCACCACAGTCATAGTGGTATCCTGTGACCAAGCATGCGACCCATGGTCATAGCCTAAGCAGCAGCAGTGGAAAGGAAAGAAATTACAGAGAAAAACACAGGATCCAGGACCATAGTAAAAGGGGCCGGGTGCTTGCCTTACCTGCATCAGACCTGCTTCCATCCCCAGCACTGCTGTGAGTAACTCCTAAAGAACAAATCTGGAATAGCAGTGGGGCACCATCTGGCATGATTCCCCCAAACCCAAAGCCAAACAAAATAAAATAAAATAATCCACATATTTTTG